TTATCTTTAAAATTAGAATAAAAATACTTATCTTACACGGAATTTCTTGTGTTTTAAAATATCGCTTAATGTGTATGCTAAAAATGTATATTCTTGGGATCTATTCTCTAGAGCAGAGTTGGAAAAGCATCATGGCCTATGGATAAAATATTAATGGGTCCCATTGCCCGATTTTTATGGCTGGGGAGCGAGGAATGTTTAATTTTTCATTTTCAAATGTTAAAGAATATTTAAAAATAATATTTTTGACATGTAAAAATTTTATTAAATTCAAATTTTAATGTCTATGAATAAAGTTTTATTGGAACACATCTACATTTATTTAAACATTGTGTATGACTGCATTAGTGCTCTATCAGCACGGTCAAGTAATGGTAACAGATATTTACTGTCTGGCCCTTTAGAGAAAAAGTATGATTCAGGTATACCACGGGGATGTATTTCAGTGTATCTCAGGTGAGTCTGCTGTAGGGGTTCTATGGATCACATTTTGAAAAATAATGCACTAGAAGAATTGTGAACAACCTTCACTTCTTCTCACTTATCACACCCACTCTACCAGAAAGCCTGGTTGGCTTTATCTTCAAACAACATCTAGAATACGCCCATTTTTTTTTTCCATGGCTAATACTACCAACCAAGTCTAAACTATCTGCTGCTATCAACCACTGTCTCTCATCTGGATTCTTGCACTTGTTTTCTAACTAGTCTATTTGCTCCTACACGTGGCCCATAGTGTCCATTCCCAACACAACAGCCAGAGTAAGTATAATAATCTTAAGTCAGATTGTGTAACTCCTCTCCTCAATGTCTTCCAGTGGCCTCTCTACTTCTCCTTTCTCACTACTCTGGATATGTTGGCCTCATAGCTGTTTCTCAAAAACCCTAGGAGATCTCCATCCTCCAGGCTGTCACAGACTATTTTATCTAAATGGCATAATCTTTCCCCAGAGATCCATGTGGCTTTCAGATTCGCTTCCTTTAGGTCTTTATTCAATGGTTACCTTCTTGGCGATCACCTTATTTTAAAACTATAACCCTCCTGTCTGGCACTATCTGCCTCCTTTATGCTCTCTAACATGTTTTGCAGTGTCCTTTTTATTTTGGTTATTGGTCACCTACTCCACATAAGGTCACTACGAAGGCAGGGGTTTTTATCAGTTTGCTCTATCCTCAGGTTACAGGAAAGTGTGTGGCTCATAAGAGGTTCACAGTAAGTATTTCTTGAATACAGAAATGAACCCCAGACTCCTATCTTGTGTTTGACAGATTATGTGTGGATTCTATCAAACATTTTCTGTATTCAAAAACAGTTGCCAGGAGTACAAATAGAAGACTTATCTCTGAAACAAGATGCAATACTCAATCACTTCAAATGAGAGGGGAAATAAAGCAGCTATTAACTTGTTTGTTCAGTCTCAGCCCACAATTTGATTACAAAAGATACTAAGGAAAGGGGAGTTAATTATGGGTACAAATATGAAAACATGAATGAAAATCCAGTTGAAACTCTTCAGAAGATTCTCCAAAAAACCACAATCAAGTTGCATCCTAAAAGAGAAAGATGGTTCATGGCAGGTTTGAGTGTTCACCATCACATTGAGCAATTTCAGGGGACTGGCACTCAAAGTTCCCCAAAAGAAAAGTGAAAAGGGAATAGCTTTCCTTCAAACTAACACTTTAGGAAACATCAGGTTTATAAGAGAATGTAAATTACTTTTAAACATACTTCAGCTTGATTCCTCCAAAGTATGAGGAAATTGAAATTTTCTTTCACTTTAACCTTCTTATTCCAATAATTACCCATGTAATTTTATGCTTATAACTTTATTTTGTAGGTTATTCTTAAAAAGATATAATTCTGACCATTGAAGGACACTTCTTTAGCCTGTATTTTTGAGAGAGAAAAGCAAAATGAAACTCCATTCTATGTCTACTCTTCTATGAATGAAATACTTTACTTGATCTACAAGGAAACTTGTCTACATGATTCCAAGTACTTCAGTTAGTCTGATCAACTGAGTAACTGGTTCAGTGAATATTCATTTCAACATGAGAATCATCACCTCCTTATTGAACTTGTGACATTTCCAAAAGGAATGGGTGATGAATGCCAAAAAGATAAAGACTTTAAATCTCTTTGGATTTTAAAACCTAAATTATTGTCAGAAAAAAAAAAAAGTTATTGCACAATTTGAGATTTCTTGAAAGTTAGTATGCAAGAAACAATTTCTATTCAATGTGGAATCTCCTGCTCTGTCAACTAGAGCTTGCCACCAGAGCATAGATGTAATTTAGAGGACCACTGCACTGGGTAAAGATTGGGTTTAGATCAGGCAGGGTGAGCTGACCTCTAAGGTCCCTTCTAAAACTAAGATTGTTTAAATCCCAGTCTTTTATTTGGAAATAATTTAATTATTTTAATTACCTCAACTCCCATTTTTCTGCTTAACTGTGTACTATCTTAAATCTGCTTATTGACAAGGGAAAGTTAGACTAATAACTGTCAAGATGACAGATTGAACTTTCAAACTGCATGCTTTTAATAGTTTTATGTGACTCTGAGATGGCAATGGCAAGTAATATTTCTGTAGCACTTTACAGTTTACAAAGCACTTGCAAGCTCATTATTTCATTTGATATTTCCTCAATTCTCTATGATTCAGTTATTTTTTTTTATTTTTATTTTTTTTGAGACGGAGTCTCTCTCTGTCGCCCAGGCTGTAGAGTGCAGTGGCGCGATCTCGGCTCACTGCAAGCTCCGCCTCCCGGGTTCACGCCATTCTCCTGCCTCAGCCTCCTGAGTGGCTGGGACTACAGGCGCCCGCCACCTCGCCCGGCTAATTTTTTGTATTTTTTTTTTTAGTAGAGACGGGGTTTCACAGTGTTAACCAGGATGGTCTCGATCTCTTGACCTGGTGATCCACCCGCCTTGGCCTCCCAAAGTGCTGGGATTACAGGCGTGAGCCACCGCGCCTGGCTGATTCAGTTATTATAATGAAAACGTATTCACTGATAAGGAAATGGAATTCAGAGAGTCCTCAAGACACACAGCCAGTTAAGTTGTAGACGCAGGAATCAGACCTAGGTCTTCAGATTCCAGTTCTCTGTACTACAATTCATTTACTGCATTTTCCTTCATCCCATCCCCCTGCTCCCTAAGAAAAGCAGCACTGCAAGGAAGAAATATTGCTGTTATTCCTTTTTATAGATAAAGTCACAAAGATAGTAAATGATAGAAGTGGGAATTAAATCTGGGCATACTGCCTAAAAATCTTGTGTTCTTATATCTAAAATGTATATTCTACAGTGTGTGGTTTTATTACTGTTTGTCATATAAGAAAGATCTAAAAATGTAAAGGCAGCCATTGAGGACAGTGGATCATGAGGAGAGGGAAGGAAATCTAGGAGAGCATGCAGTCCATGTTCTCTTCTGCATCAACCCACTGACCACTCCAGCTCCAGTCCCAGTTAGTACTGATGGGAATGTTGACAGACGAAAGTAAATTCAGACCATTAGGGGAATTAACATGGTATGTGGAGAAATTCCTCTTCCTTCTCCTTTGACAACACCTTTCTTCTTTCTCAATTAGTCTGTGACCTCCTCAGGAGCCACGAAACTGCATATTTTGCTTCTGTGTTTCACACACATCATGAAAATCACTAAGAGATGGTGAGATAATGTTAGTTTTTTTACATTTATTGACATATTCTATCTTTGCAACTATTCCATTTAACGGGCATTATTATCCCCCTTCTCCTTCTCCTTAAAAAAATGAGAAAATGAGACATATAAAGGTTAGGTAAATTACTTTAGGTTATACAGCTAATGTGACAGAAAAATAATTCAAAGAAGAAAAGAAGAGAGGAAGCAGGAAGAAAAAAAGAAGAAAGTGAGGGAAAGTGGGAGAGGGGAAGAAGGGAAGGAAAACAAATGGAAGGAAAAAAGGAAGGAAGGAAGAAAGAAGGAAGGAAGGAAGGAAGGAAGGAAGGAAGGAAGGAAGGAAGGAAGGAAGGAAGGAAGGAAAAAAAGAGGGAGGGAGGGAGGGAGGGAAGGAGGCAAGGAGGGAGGCAATTATAGGCTATTGAGTGCTCAGAAGGAAGACCAACAAAGACCAGAGACTTTCTCTCCAGGTCTGGGCAGCTAGCACTTAACTAACCTCTAGTACAATAGAGGCAAGGGAGGGTCACAGAGATTTCTGGTTTTCTCTTCCTCTTGACCACTTGTAGTGCTTACTTTTAGGGCTTCTTTTAATCACCCATCCATCATGCTCCATAAAGCCATAGTAAAAAGGAATCAAGTGTCTTACCGGAAAACAGGTACAGTTCCTATTCATAGCGTAGCTTGCTTTATTTGAGAGGCTGACATGATTTTGTGTTAATGCCAGGTCTGTGTATATGTTAACTAGGAACTTTAGATAGTACAACTTATGCTGGAAGCCTGTTGATTTTTTCTTCAGTTTAACAATTATTAGGCACCCTTTTCCTCCTCTGTAGTTCTTAGAACTCCACTATATTTGTATTCTATTCTGTAGGCACAGTGCCACAGCCAAAGACTGTTGAGTCTGGAAATAGACATTTTTAGACATAATCAGCTTAATCTTCTTACTAGCTGTGTGATTGCTGGGGAGGTCTCAACTTCACTGAGGTCTCAGTTTTCTACCTTACATTACCCATATGATAGAGTTGTTATAAGGATGAACTGAAAGGCAAAGAAAAGCATTTTGTCCATGGAAAAACACTTTATACATCTAAGCTATTATCTCCTACTTCACACAAGTATCTACCTTGTTTCTGAAGAGTGAAGAGCTTACTTTTTCTGTTTGTTTGTTTGTTTTGTTTTCGTTTTATTTTGTTGGCTCTTTCTGCTTTGCTTCCAACCATTTCTCAAAAAACGTACATGCATGTGAGTGTCAACAGTATTTGAAAGCGGGCAGTTTCCTTTCTGGTTATTTTCAATACATATTTCTGATAAACGCTTCTTATTTTTTTATTTATAGAAACATTCAAGAATGAAAAACATCAAAAATAACAAGATGTGACAGAAGCCACTTAGTCAACAAACATAAATGTTGGAGGGAAAAAAGAAGCTAGCCTTCTAGCTGAAAAACAAATATTCCCCAATGGACTCCAGAAGAAACTTGACTCATCGCTGCAAAGGAGAGAACAACCTTAAAACTTTTAACAGATAAAACTTAGAGAAACCTAAGATATAAAATTCGTATAGTCTATTCTGTTGTGTCTAAATCTGTATGTATTGTTTTGTTGTTCTTTAGGACATATTTATTTAACATGCACATTTTTTTCAGGTTCTTATTTCTACTACCAACAACTAAGTAATTGAGAAATAATTTTGTATTTCAGTTTCTGAGTAAAACCAGTCTGAAATAGGATAAGAGCTCACCAAATATTTTCTTTTTTTCCCAAAATTTGTTTTGCCATTTTTTTAGTGCTATCATCATTCCTAACAAGACTAACTTACAGAAAAATAATTATATCTGATTGATTTAAAATGTCCAGGTTTCTTATCCAAATCCCTTGGAACTGGGATCCCTACCTATCAAGGGTGGAAGGGAGTTTGACTTCACATTCACAGTGTATTTACAAAATATACTTTGTAATAAATATGTTTGAATTCCAACAACCAAAGCCATTGAGAGTCATAGGAGTTTTCCATAACCTCTTCTATGACACAACAAGTTCATGACTGAAATTTCACCGGATTTCTGAGAAGATGCCTTAGTATTTTATGTACTGTGTACCACACAATTCTTTAGATGAATGTTTCTTAGGATTGTAGGAAAATTATCTAGTTAATCATAATATTTGATGTAAAGAAAAAGGCAATAAAATTGTAATGAGATATAATAAATTTGGCTGACAATAAACCAAAGTGATTCTTAATTAGTGTACATTAGAATGATGCTCTTATAGTTGCATCATCTATAAAAATTACTTTAAGAGCTCTCACATTTTGATAATTTATCTTATTATGTATTAAGTATACAGGAGCAATATTATTTTTCCTCTAACAAAATGAAGAGACAAGCTATCTGGTTAATGTTACACAGGAATTTAACAGTAACACTTAAACTTCATCCATAGATCATACTCTGTACAAAATCTGTTAGCTAACATCCTATCTCATAATTATTTTATGTTACTTGGAGAAATTTGTTGATTTTGTACCAAAGTGTTTCTGAAGACAATAAATTGTGAGTCAGCTTTTGAACAAAAAAAATTACAGTTAGAGTTTTTTGAATGTTTATATTCTGATTAAGCTCACTTTACCTTACTTTTTTTCTAAGTGACAATTAATCCTGATTTCTAATGTCCTAAATATTGCTTAGTGATTTGATTGTGGTAATATCATTTCTTATCTACAATGTCTAAACTTTTATGGGATAGTTTTACTTTTATTTATTTTGCCTGTTTGTGCAGATTAGAGCAGAAACTTTTCTAAGCCCCACATTTGGTTATTGAAGGCCACAGCGAATCTTAACCTGACAACCTTGGCAAACTGCACCTTAGGTAATTTTAGACTCATATAATTTGTTATTTTTCAAGTAATAGTGAATAATTAATATTTTCATTTGGAATATGAGAATGATTAAATTTGTACTTTTGATAGGTATCATTCTTTGATTAGAAAATTAAGAGAATGCATATCTTCCTTTGGCCGTAAATTATCAAGGGCTTTCTAATGGAAATCGTATATAACATTTCTAAATATAAGTCCTTTCACATACTGCATTTCCAGTTGTCTTGATATTGAAAAGTGTAATAAACTTCATGCTCACTTATTGGAGATTTGGGAAGGTTGAAAATAAATTTCCTAATTTTTATTTGTATGTGTTCTCTTCTATGTTTAACTCTAGGATAACTATCTTCCTGTAACGATTAGGTTAAAATAGTCTTTAACTAGAATTGAAATAAATTGTTCACTAAGGAGGGGATTGCTTGTGCTAAAAAAAAAAAAAAAAAAAAAAAAAAAAAAAAAAAAAGCCAGGAGGAGAGAGATTTCCTTCCTGCCCTCTCCATCCCCTATGGACTTACAGTGCTGAGCTCAATCATAATGACCAAATTTCACAGCATGGTCAAGTTGCATAGACAGGGGCCAAGACTACGAATTGTTAATACTGGCTTCTTCCTAATTGAATCAGCCAAGCAATTTTGGAAAAGGCTGTCAGAAAGGAGTGAGAAATGGAAAGAGGAAAATGTGATTGTTGAGATAGGCTAGTTCAACTCTTGCGTCCGGGATTTTAATATAAAAACTGTTTGTTTTAAGATCAGAGTCAACACGTAATGAGACTTTTAGGTGTTTATCCAATGGTTCTTGGTTCAAGTTGCCTCTAAAAGAAAAAAAATGTGTAAAACGCTGGGGGAAGTCAGAATTAGGATCTAATTATAACCCCGGTAGGCTGGAATACTAAAAATGAAATCCAATAGAATAAAAGTATTCTTTTGATTTTACCATGAAAATATTTCCACAATTGTAAAACTTCTGACTGTTTCTACTTCTACTGCTGTGGTCCAAACTCAGTCATCTCTGTTGGATTATTGCAAAAATCCTGTAACAATCCTTCCCGTTCCTGCCCTTCCTACCTATCAATCTATTCTGATTGTGAGAGCCAGAATGATCTCATTAAAATATATGCTATTATTACACACCACAGTCATGTCCTACCTCATTCAGACTAAAAGCCAAAATTCCTAAAATGATCCACAAAGGTGTACCCAATCTATTCCCATTCTCTCTCTGGACTCTTCCTATTCATTTTGCTGAAGTCATACTGATCTTCCCATTTGATGTGGTTTGGCTGTGTCCCCATCTAAATCTCGTCTTGAATTGTAGTTCTCATAATCCCCACATGTCATGGGAGGAACCCGGTGGTAGGTAATTGAGTCATGGGGGCAGTTTCCCCCATGCTGTTCTCCTGATAGTGAGTGAGTTCTCATGAGATCTGATGGCTTTTATAAAGGCTTTTTCCACTTTTGCTTGGCACTTCTTGCTGCCACCATGTGAAGAAGGATATGTTTGCTTCCCCTTCTGCCATGATTATAAATTTTCTGAGGCCTCCCCAGCCATGCTGAACTGTGAGACAATTAAACCTATTTCCTTTATAAATAACCCAGTCTTGGGTATGTCTTTATTAGCAGTGTGAGAATGGACTAATACACCATTATTTATCAACTGTGCCAGGGCTAGTCCTACCCTGAGGCCTTTGCATTTGCTGTTCTCCCTGCCTGGAACACAGTTTGCTCTCCTCTCCACAGAGGTCACTCCCTTACTTGCTTCAGGCTTTATCCACATATTATCTTCTCAGTGTGGCCTGCTCTGGCCACCCTATCTCAAACTGCAGTCTCAACTCTTATTAGTCTTTGTATCTCCTTCCCTGCCTTAATTTTCTCCATAATAGTTTATTCTATCTAACAAGTAATGTCTTTTACATATCTTATTTCTTTTCTGTCTCCTTTACACTAGACTGTAAACCCCCTGAAGGCAAGATTTCTTGTTGGTTTCTGCACTACACCCAGGCACTTAGAATAGTATCTGGCATATATCTGGCACTCAGTATATGTTTGCTGAATGAACTGATTAAAGTTAGGAATGTGAAAACTCGGGCCAGACTGCCCAGATCTGAATACTGATTCCCTGTTTACTGGGTTGCCTTGGGTAGGTGTGTGAGCCTCCTTCTGCTTCAAATTCCTACATATATATAAAATAGGACTAAAATAGAATCTACATTGTAGAGTTGTTGTGATAATTTGATGAATGAATATATGTAAAGTGCTTAGAGCTTTGTCTGGCAAAAAGTAAGTCCTCAATACATTTATCTGTTATTATTTTATAATATGTATATGTTCTAAATTATATATAAAATGTTAGATCAAGGAATTTTAGTTTTGGAGTTTTGCATCTTTTCTTCTTTGAGTTTTCTTCCTTTCCCACTTCCACTCTTATGTACCATGACCAATACCTATCTAGTCCTTATTATCTTAGCTCAGGTTCCCTAGAAGCACAGGTTAAGGGGGAAGATACTCGTTCAGTGGTTTATTGGAGTGTTTTTAGGAGAAATCTGTATGGAAGTGGAAGAAGCAGAACCAGGATAGGAGAATGATCTAGATAAATACATGGTTTCATAAGAACTCCAACCTAATCTTTCCAGCCTGATCCTAAGGGTACCCCAGAGCATGGATTATACTACTGTGCTGATCCCTCGGCTGAACCTTCAAAAATTTGTTCCAATCCAAGAGGCCAGCAGGTTCCAAATTCTGTACCATACTACAGGACAAATGAGTCCCAAAGGTATATCCCACCGTTGCGTCTCCCTTGTGACAAATTGTGTCACTTGATCTGAGATGATATTACACAGGGTATCATGTTGGGAGAACAGAAATCCTGTGACCCCTCTGTGGCAGTGCTGGCTGAGGCACTGTGGAAAGGAAAAATAAACTGATACCTGGAGTGTGTTTTGATTTCAGTTATGAGAAAGCATAGATTCTTCTTGGGTGAAAGAGATTCAATGTAATAAAATTCTTACCAACTGACTAGGTTGTCTCTTCAAAGGATGGTAACTTATCAGGGAGAGGGACAAACACCATTGGTATTTGTGGAAGGCAAGTTGAAACTTCAACAGTAACAGTAACTAGGTCAGCCTTTGTGAGAAACAGTTCATGCTGTTGGCCCAGGACTTACAGTAATATGTGCCATCATGGTTACTCCACTCATGAATCCATTGTGCAAGTACCAGGGTGACTAAGGACAGAGGCTAGTTGATATTTACTGATTGAGTTAACCTATCTAATTGATTTTATAGTACAGATGCTCTCTGTTGAACACTAATTTGCTATACAAAATTTTCACACCTTTTCCCAATTTTCATAGTCATCCTCTTCTTCAGATATTTTTATCTGCCATATTTAGCTCTATCTGTATCCAAGTATTGAACTAATCAGCTAAGCCATTTGCTATTAAAGCCACTTCCCAAGGAGTTTATGTTTATCCTGATTGCAGGCCGTTTTCTGTTGACACACAATGTGGACAACCAGATGCATGCAACTCTGTCCACTGGGAGGATTTCACTTCACCATTGTCTTTCAGACTCACTCCTAAGTAGGGCTCTAGTGCAACAGTAATCCATTTGGGCCTCTGCTAATACACCAAGTTGACCCATCCATGAACGAATCCACTTCATTTTATTAGTTGTTTACAGAGAACCGCACCCTGAGCTCTGGAAGTGTAAGCTGAATAAAAAGTGCAGGTACAACAATGTGGGTGAGTGATTTGAGGGTCTCATCAGTCACTCATTGGCACGTCTCATTTGTATCATCTGGACCTGCTTCACCCCAGTCCTGTATGTGCTGCTTCTGTCTTGCAAAGTGCTGCTGCTGGGTTTACTTAATCTTATGAATTCCTGTGTCTTATAGCAACCAGCCCAAGAGGGCAGTTTCAGTCATATGATTATACAATGTTCTATTGTCATGTATCAGTCTCCTATTTGGTAAAGTAGCATGGTGACAGCTGCTTTTCAAATGTTGTATAGGTCTGTGATAAAATGTCATGGCCGTGTTCCAAGGATTGCACAGTAATTCTCCTATTAGAGCTTGCCAGCGATTTTATACACTATATCTATTAGATACTCATCAGCTATATATCTAGATACCCACAGTACCACAGATCTTTCAAGTAATATGGCAGAGATGCAAGTCTTCTGCAACCACAGACTTGACCTGCTGTATCACCCCTCCTTCCTCTGGGCCACATACACAACTGTCAGTCATTTGCATCATCTCATACATGATTCAGAGCAGCATACACAAGTGTGGTATGTACTGCCTATCCAACCCCCAAAGACTTACTAAATGCTTTCTTAGTGGAAAGAGGTGTAAAGGACTTGCTATGGTCTAAATGTTAGTGTCTTCCAAAATTCATATGTTGGAAACCAATACCCAGTGTGATAATATTAAAAGATGGGTCTTTTAAGAAGTAATTATGTCATGATGGCTCTATTCTCAGGAATGGGACTGGTTCTCTTACGAAAGAAGCTGAAGGGAGTGTCCTTGCTCCCCTCTGCCATGTAAGGATGCAGCAAGAGGTGCCATCTTTGAAACAAAGCAAGTCCTCACCAGACCTCAAATCTTCTGGTACCTTGATCTTAGACTTCTTAGCCTCCAGAATGGTGAGCAATAAATTTCTATTCTTTATAAATTACCCAGTCTAAGGTATTTTGTTATAGCAGCCCAGAACAAATAAAGATAGTGCCAGAACCTGTTCTTTGTCTGATGAGATATCCTAGCTTCCTTAGCTCAAGGGAATCCTAAAATTTTTATCCATATGGCAGCATCTTGAATTTTTGCAAGGTTTAGTTTATTCTGTTGTTAATGGGCCAAGGTGTTACTAAAGAATGGGAGCTAGATACATACCCTTTTAGGTGGCTAGCAAGGTACTTAAGCTATGGGTCCCTAGTCCCTGTGGCTTGTGTTTGCTGATGTGACCCTCATTCAACATATTCTTGTCATTTCTTGAGAACAGTGCAATGGTTGGGCACATCGGAAGCTGCAGCTTAGTGTCCGAGCCCTCCAGGATTTTCTTGCCCCACATAGTACTTGCTATCTGCTTCATACCCTTTATTAAAGCTAAGTAAACTTAGTGCTTGGTGTACTTATTGTTTCTTGTATCTTTGAGTGACAATATGAAATTAAAACTCATTCTAATGGTCTTGGTTTTGCAAGATTACAAAATAAAAATAAAATACTAGAAATAATAAATATGGTTTGGCTGTGCCCCTACCCAAATCTCATCTTGAATTCCCATGTGTTGTGTGAGGGAGATTTGTCCCTA